TAGGCCCTTGTTCTCGATTTTTTGCACACGCTAGGCCCTTGCTCTCGCTATTTTGCACTCGCTAGGCCCTTGTTCTTGCAATTTTGCACACGTTAGGCCCTTGTTCTTGCAATTTTGCACACGCTAGGCCCTTGTTCTTTTTTTTTTGCACACGCTAGGCCCTAGTTCTTGCTATTTTGCAAACGCTATGCCCTTGTTCTTTTTATTTTGCACACGCTAGGCCCTTGTTCTTGCAATTTTGCACATGCTAGACCCTTGTTCTTTTTATTTTGCACACGCTAGGCCCTTGTTCTTGCTATTTCGCGAACACTAGGCCCTTGTTCTTGATTATTGCAACACGCTAGGCCCTTGCTCTTGATTTTTTGCATACGCTAGGCCCTTGTTCTTTTTATTTTGCACACGCTAGGCCCTTGTTCTTTTTTTTTTGCACACGCTAGGCCCTTGTTCTTGCTATTTTGCACACGCTATGCCCTTGTTCTTTTTATTGTGCACACGCTAGGTCCTTGTCCTTGCAACTTTGCACATGCTAGACCCTTGTCCTTTTTATTTTGCACACGCTAGGCCCTTGTTCTTGCTATTTCGCGAATGCTAGGCCCTTGTTCTTGATTTTTTGCACATGCTAGGCCCTTGCTCTTGCTATTTTGCACTCGCTAGGCCCTTGTTCTTGCAATTTTGCACACGCTAGGCCCTTGTTCTTGCAATTTTGCACACGCTAGGCCCTTCTTCGTTTTATTTTGCACACGCTAGGCCCGTGTTCTTTTTATTTTGCACAAGCTAGGCCCTTGTTCTTGCAATCTTGCACACGCTATGCCCTTGATCTTTTTATTTTGTACACGCTAGGCCCTTGTTCTTGCAATTTTGCATATGCTAGACCCTTGTTCTTTTTATTTTGCACACGCTAGGCCCTTGTTCTTGCTATTTTGCACATGCTATGCCCTTGTTCTTTTTATTTTGAACACGCTAGGCCCTTGTTCTTGCAATTTTGCACATGCTAGACCCTTGTTATTTTTATTATGCACATGCTAGGCCCTTGTTCTTGCTATTTCGCGAACGCTAGGCCCTTGTTCTTGCTATTTTGCACACGTTATGCCCTTGTTCTTTTTATTTTGCACACGCTAGGCCCTTGTTCTTGCTATTTTGCACATGCTAGACCCTTGTTCTTTTTATTTTGCACACGCTAGGCCCTTGCTCTTGCTATTTCGCGAACGCTAGGCCCTTGTTCTTGATTTTTTGCACACGCTAGGCCCTTGTTCTTGCAACTTTGCACACGCTAGGCCCTTGTTCTTGCAATTTTGCACACGCTGGGCCCTTGTTCTTTTTATTTTGCACACGCTAGGCCCTTGTTCTTTTTATTTTGCACATGCTAGGCCCTTGTTCTTGCTACTTTGCACACGCTATGCCCTTGTTCTTTTAAATTTGAACACACTAGGCCCTTGTTCTTGCTATTTCGCGAACGCTAGGCCCTTGTTCTTGATTTTTTGCACACGCTAGGCCCTTGCTCTTGCTATTTTGCACTCGCTAGGCCCTTGTTCTTGCAACTTTGCACACGTTAGGCCCTTGTTCTTGCAATTTTGCATACGCTAGGCCCTTGTTCTTTTTATTTTGCACACGCTAGGCCCTCGTTCTTTTTATTTTGCACACGCTAGGGCCTTTGTTCTTGCTATTTTGCACACGCTATGCCCTTGTTCTTTTTATTTTGCACACGCTAGGCCCTTGCTCTTGCTATTTTGCACTCGCTAGGCCCTTGTTCTTGCAATTTTGCACACGCTAGGCCCTTGCTCTTGCAATTTTGCACATGCTAGGCCCTTGTTCTTGCTATTTTGCACACGCTAGGCCCTTGTTCTTTTTATTTTGCACACGCTAGGCCCTTGTTCTTGCTATTTTGCACTCGCTATGCCCTTGTTCTTTTTATTTTGCACACGCTAGGCCCTTGTTCTTGCAAATTTGCACATGCTAGACCCTTGTTCTTTTCATTTTGCACACGCTAGGCCCTTGTTCTTGCAGCTTCGCGAACGCTAGGCCCTTGTTCTTGTTTGTTTGCACACGCTAGGCCCTTGCTCTTGCTATTTTGCACTCGCTAGGCCCTTGTTCTTGCAATTTTGCACACGCTAGGCCCTTGTTCTTGCAATTTTGCACACGCTAGGCCCTTGTTCTTTTTATTTTGCACACGCTAGGCCCTTGTTCTTTTTATTTTGCACACGCTATGGCCTTGTTCTTTTTATTTTGCACACGCTATGCCCTTGTTCTTTTTATTTTGCACATGCTAGTCCCTTGTTCTTGCAATTTTGCACATGCTAGGCCCTTGTTCTTTTTATTTTGCACACGCTAGGCCCTTGTTCTTGCTATTTCGCGAATGCTAGGCCCTTGTTCTTGATTTTTTGCACACGCTAGGCCCTTGCTCTTGCTATTTTGCACTCGCTAGGCCCTTGTTCTTGCAATTTTGCACACGCTAGGCCCTTGTTCTTGATTTTTTGCACACGCTAGGCCCTTGCTCTTGCTATTTTGCACTCGCTAGGCCCTTGTTCTTGCAATTTTGCACACGCTAGGCCCTTGTTCTTGCAAGTTTGCACACGCTAGGCCCTTGTTCTTTTTATTTTGCACACGCTAGGCCCTTGTTCTTGCAATTTTGCACACGCTATGCCCTTGTTCTTTTTATTTTGCACACGCTAGGCCCTTGTTCTTGCAATCTTGCACATGCTAGACCCTTGTTCTTTTTATTTTGCACACGCTAGGCCCTTTTTCTTGCTATTTCGCGAACACAAGGCCCTTGTTCTTGTTTTTTTGCACACGCTAGGCTCTTGCTCTTGCTATTTTGCACTCGCTAGGCCCTTGTTCTTGCAATTTTGCACTCGCTAGGCCCTTGTTCTTGCAATTGTGCACACGCTAGGCCCTTGTTCTTTTTATTTTGCACACGCTAGGCCCTTGTTCTTATATTTTGCACATGCTAGGCCCTTGTTCTTGCTATTTTGCACACGCTATGCCCTTGTTTTTTTTATTTTGCACACGCTAGGCCCTTGTTCTTGCAAATTTGCACTCGCTATGCCCTTGTTCTTTTTATTTTGCACACGCTAGGCCCTTGTTCTTGCAAATTTGCACATGCTAGACCCTTGTTCTTTTCATTTTGCACACGCTAGGCCCTCGTTCTTTTTATTTTGCACACGCTAGGCCTTTGTTCTTGCTATTTTGCACACGCTATGCCCTTGTTCTTTTTATTTTGCACACGCTAGGCCCTTGCTCTTGCTATTTTGCACTCGCTAGGCCCTTGTTCTTGCAATTTTGCACACGCTAGGCCCTTGCTCTTGCAATTTTGCACATGCTAGGCCCTTGTTCTTGCTATTTTGCACACGCTAGGCCCTTGTTCTTTTTATTTTGCACACGCTAGGCCCTTGTTCTTGCTATTTTGCACTCGCTATGCCCTTGTTCTTTTTATTTTGCACACGCTAGGCCCTTGTTCTTGCAAATTTGCACATGCTAGACCCTTGTTCTTTTCATTTTGCACACGCTAGGCCCTTGTTCTTGCAGCTTCGCGAACGCTAGGCCCTTGTTCTTGTTTTTTTGCACACGCTAGGCCCTTGCTCTTGCTATTTTGCACTCGCTAGGCCCTTGTTCTTGCAATTTTGCACACGCTAGGCCCTTGTTCTTGCAATTTTGCACACGCTAGGCCCTTGTTCTTTTTATTTTGCACACGCTAGGCCCTTGTTCTTTTTATTTTGCACACGCTATGGCCTTGTTCTTTTTATTTTGCACACGCTATGCCCTTGTTCTTTTTATTTTGCACATGCTAGTCCCTTGTTCTTGCAATTTTGCACATGCTAGGCCCTTGTTCTTTTTATTTTGCACACGCTAGGCCCTTGTTCTTGCTATTTCGCGAATGCTAGGCCCTTGTTCTTGATTTTTTGCACACGCTAGGCCCTTGCTCTTGCTATTTTGCACTCGCTAGGCCCTTGTTCTTGCAATTTTGCACACGCTAGGCCCTTGTTCTTGATTTTTTGCACACGCTAGGCCCTTGCTCTTGCTATTTTGCACTCGCTAGGCCCTTGTTCTTGCAATTTTGCACACGCTAGGCCCTTGTTCTTGCAAGTTTGCACACGCTAGGCCCTTGTTCTTTTTATTTTGCACACGCTAGGCCCTTGTTCTTGCAATTTTGCACACGCTATGCCCTTGTTCTTTTTATTTTGCACACGCTAGGCCCTTGTTCTTGCAATCTTGCACATGCTAGACCCTTGTTCTTTTTATTTTGCACACGCTAGGCCCTTTTTCTTGCTATTTCGCGAACACAAGGCCCTTGTTCTTGTTTTTTTTGCACACGCTAGGCTCTTGCTCTTGCTATTTTGCACTCGCTAGGCCCTTGTTCTTGCAATTTTGCACTCGCTAGGCCCTTGTTCTTGCAATTGTGCACACGCTAGGCCCTTGTTCTTTTTATTTTGCACACGCTAGGCCCTTGTTCTTATATTTTGCACATGCTAGGCCCTTGTTCTTGCTATTTTGCACACGCTATGCCCTTGTTCTTTTTATTTTGCACACGCTAGGCCCTTGTTCTTGCAAATTTGCACATGCTAGACCCTTGTTCTTTTTATTTTGCACACGCTAGGCCCTTGTTCTTGCTATTTCGCGAATGCTAGGCCCTTGTTCTTGATTTTTTGCACACGCTAGGCCCTTGCTCTTGCTATTTTGCACTCGCTAGGCCCTTGTTCTTGCAATTCTGCACACGCTAGGCCCTTGTTCTTGCTATTTTTGTCACAATATATATATTTGTAACTGCCTGTAGCTGTAGTTAGTGTAGATATTTAAACTTTGTTTGGTGGTGCACCTTATGTGTTTCCTTTGCTATATGTACTTCGAAACTATAGTGAAGATACACATTCTCCCAACTTTTTCTCAACTCACTCGAACTCCTACCTAGGCACAAAACCGCTCGACACCTAAAGCTCGGGCCTAGGCTACTAAGCCTAGGCCCCACCTTTCTACCTCTCAACTTACCCATTCTTATTACTCTCGACATGGTATCAGAGCTAGGTTCGTCCTGGCCTGTGGGCCCACTTTACACTTCCGCTGCTAAGGTTTTCCGGTCGCGCGCCTAGGGCGCGTGACGATTTTATTTTTACATTGTCCCGCCCACGGGCGAGTGACTCCTTCCCTGCCCGTCGCGCGCCCCGTGGCACGCGACGGTGCCCTTCGTCTGCCCATCGTGCGCCCCGTGGCACACGATGGTGCCCTGCTCGTCGTGCGCCCCGAGGCACACGATCGGGCCCTTCTATTCCACCCGTCGTGCGCCCCGTGGCACTGGCCCGCGACGGGCCTTTCCGCCCCTGCACTCCCTGAAGCCGCCCCTGACACTACTGCACCGACACCTTTTCACCGCTCTGCGGCTTTCTTCCTTCCCACCCCCCTCCTCCTTTGTCTCCCTGCAGCCGCGGGGAGGAGGGTATGGGGGTGGAGGGTGTTGGAGTGTGGCGTCACCTCTCTCCCTTCCCCTCCTCCTTCTTTCAGTCCCACCGCTGCAGCTGCCGCTGGGGGGAGAAGGTGTGAGGATGTGGGGGAGCAGGGGGAGTGGTAACGGGGTGGCGGGTGTGAGGCAACATGCAGCCGTCCCTCCACCTCTCCTCTCTTCCCCCCCTTCTCTGCTGCTCCTGCAGCAGTGTGGGGGAGGGGAAGGAGGAGGGTGAGGAGATGGAGGGGGTGACCACTTAGTGTCAGCCCGCCTGCATTACCTGCTGTTGCTTGCTATTTATTTTGCATGTGTACACCTGCAGGTTGTATTCTACACATACTCCTGCTGCAGGCAGTTATGGGGGAGTGTCACAATATATATATTTGTAACTGCCTGTAGCTGTAGTTAGTGTAGATATTTAAACTTTGTTTGGTGGTGCACCTTATGTGTTTCCTTTGCTATATGTACTTCGAAGCTATAGTGAAGACACACATTCTCCCAACTTTTTCTCAACTGACTCGAACTCCTACCTAGGCACAAAACCGCTCGACACCTAAAGCTCGGGCCTAGGCTACTAAGCCTAGGCCCCACCTTTCTACCTCTCAACTTACCCATTCTTATTACTCTCGACAATTTTGCACACGCTAGGCCCTTGTTCTTGCTATTTTGCACACGCTAGGCCCTTGTTCTTTTTATTTTGCACACGCTAGGCCCTTGTTCTTGCTATTTTGCACACGCTATGCCCTTGTTCTTTTTATTTTGCACACGCTAGGCCCTTGTTCTTGCAATTTTGCACATACCAGACCCTTGTTCTTTTTATTTTGCACACGCTAGGCCCTTGCTCTTGCAATTTTGCACACGCTAGGCCCTTGTTCTTTTTATTTTGCACACGCTAGGCCCTTGTTCTTATATTTTGCACATGCTAGGCCCTTGTTCTTGCTATTTTGCACACGCTATGCCCTTGTTCTTTTTATTTTGCACACGCTAGGCCCTCGTTCTTTTTATTTTGCACACCCTAGGCCCTTGTTCTTGCTATTTTGCACACGCTATGCCCTTGTTCTTTTTATTTTGCACACGCTAGGCCCTTGTTCTTGCAATTTTGCACATACTAGACCCTTGTTCTTTTTATTTTGCACACGCTAGGCCCTTGCTCTTGCAATTTTGCACACGCTAGGCCCTTGTTCTTTTTATTTTGCACACGCTAGGCCCTTGTTCTTATATTTTGCACATGCTAGGCCCTTGTTCTTGCTATTTTGCACACGCTATGCCCTTGTTCTTTTTATTTTGCACACGCTAGGCCCTTGTTCTTGCAATTTTGCACATGCTAGACCCTTGTTCTTTTTATTTTGCACACGCTAGGCCCTTGTTCTTGTTATTTCGCGAACGCTAGGCCCTTGTTCTTAATTGTTTGCACGCGCTAGGCCCTTGCTCTTGCTATTTTGCACTCGCTAGGCCCTTGTTCTTGCACTGCACACGCTAGGCCCTTGTTCTTGCAATTTTGCACACGCTAGGCCCTTGTTCTTGCTATTTTGCACACGCTAGGCCCTTGTTCTTTTTATTTTGCACACGCTAGGCCCTTGTTCTTGCTATTTTGCACACGCTATGCCCTTGTTCTTTTTATTTTGCACACGCTAGGCCCTTATTCTTGCAATTTTGCACATGCTAGACCCTTGTTCTTTTTATTTTGCACACGCTAGGCCCTTGTTCTTGCTATTTCGCGAATGCTAGGCCCTTGTTCTTAATTTTTTGCACACGCTAGGCCCTTGCTTGCTATTTTGCACTCGCTAAGCCCTTGTTCTTGCAATTTTGCACATGCTAGGCCCTTGTTCTTGCAATTTTGCAAACGCTAGGCCCTTGTTCTTTTTATTTTGCACACGCTAGGCCCTTGTTCTTTTTATTTTGCACACGCTAGGCCCTTGTTCTTGATATTTTGCACACGCTATGCCCTTGTTCTTTTTATTTTGCACACGCTAGGCCCTTGTTCTTGCAATTTTGCACATGCTAGACCCTTGTTCTTTTCGTTTTGCACACGCTAGGCCTTTGTTCTTGCAATTTCGCGAACGCTAGGCCCCTGTTCTTGATTTTTTGCATACGCTAGGCCCTTGCTATTGCTATTTTGCACTCGCTAGGCCCTTGTTCTTGCAATATTGCACACGCTAGGCCCTTATTCTTGCAATTTTGCACACGCTAGGCCCTTGTTCTTTTTATTTTGCACACGCTAGGCCCTTGTTCTTTTTATTTTGCACACGCTATGCCCTTGGTGCATCGGCCAGTCTGGCCGGCATTTCGCACTCATAGTGCAGGTGGGGCCAGGGAGAACGGAAACGCTCGTTTCTCAAAAAGTAGAGGGAATCTAACGGTCTCACTCGATCAGAAGGTGGGAAATATATAAATCTAGTCAGCTAAAAAGGTTTGAAATGTATTCAGCGCATATGTATAGAGAAAATGGTGCATTGGCCAGGTCGGTCAGTATCGGAACTTAAAATGCAAATGCCAGGGAGAACGGAAGCGCTCAGATCTCGCATAGTACACGGAATCAAGTGGTCTCACTCAAAACGAAAGTAGGAATTATATTCATCTAGTGAACGTAAGGGTTTGAAAGGTAACTAACGCACATGTGTAGAGAAAATGGTGCATCGGCCAGTCTGGCCGGCATTTCGCACTCATAGTGCAGGTGGGGCCAGGGAGAACGGAAACGCTCGTTTCTCAAAAAGTAGAGGGAATCTAACGGTCTCACTCGATCAGAAGGTGGGAAATATATAAATCTAGTTAGCTAAAAAGGCTTGAAATGTATTCAACGCACATGTATAGAGAAAATGGTGCATTGGCCAGGTCGGTCAGTATCAGAACTTCAAATGCAAATGCCAGGGAGAACGGAAGCGCTAAGATCTCGCATAGTACACGGAATCAAGTGGTCTCACTCAAAAAGAAAGTAGGAAATATATTCATCTAGTGAACGTAAGGGCTTGAAAGGTAACTAACGCACATGTGTAGAGAAAATGGTGCATCGGCCAGTCTGGCCGGCATTTCGCACTCATAGTGCAGGTGGGGCCACGGAGAACGGAAACGCTCGTTTCTCAAAAAGCAGAGGGAATCTAACGGTCTCACTCGATCAGAAGGTGGGAAATATATAAATCTAGTCAGCTAAAAAGGTTTGAAATGTATTCAACGCACATGTATAGAGAAAATGGTGCATTGGCCAGGTCGGTCAGTATCGGAACTTCAAATGCAAATGCTAGGGAGAACGAAAGCGCTCAGATCTCGCATCGTACACGGAATCTAGTGGTCTCACTCCAATAGAAGGTAGGAAAAAAATTCATCTAGTGAACGTAAGGGTTTGAAAGGTATCTAACGCACATGTGTAGAGAATATGGTGCATCTGCCAGTCTGGCCGGCATTTCGCACTTATAGTGCAAGTAGGGCCAAGGAGAACGGAAACGCTCATTTCTCAAAAAGTAAAGGGAATCTAGCAGTCTCACTCGATCAGAAGGTGGGAAATATATAAATCTAGTGAGCTTATAAGGTTCAGAAGAAATCTAATGCATATGTATATAGAAAGTGGTGCATTGGCCAGGTCGGTCAGTATGGGAACTTAGAGTGCAAATGCCTGTGAGAACGGAACTGCTCAGATCTCGCATAATACACGGAATCTAGTGGTCTCACTCAAATATAAGGTAGGAAATATATTCATCTAGTGAACGTAATGGTTTGAAAGGTAACTAACGCACATGTGTAGAGAAAATGGTGCATCGGTCAGTCTGGCCGGCATTTCGCACTCATAGTGCAGGTGGGGCCAGAGAGAACGGAAACGCTCGTTTCTCAAAAAGTAGAGGGAATCTAACGGTCTGACTCAATCAGAAGGTGGGAAACATATAAATCAGGTCAGCTAAAAAGGTTTGAAATGTATTCAACGCACATGTATAGAAAAAATGGTGCATTGGCCAGGTCGGTCAGTATCGGAACTTAAGATGCAAATGCCAGGGAGAATGGAAGCGCTCAGATCTCGCATAGTACACGGAATCAAGTGGTCTCACTCAAATAGAAAGTAGGAATTATATTCATCTAGTGAACGTAAGGGTTTGAAAGGGAACTAACGCACATGTGTAGAGAAAATTGTGCATCGGCCAGTCTGGCCGGCATTTCGCACTTATAGTGCAACTAGGGCCAAGGAGAACGGAAACGCTCATTTCTCAAAAAGTAAAGGGAATCTAGCGGTCTCACTCGATAAGAAGGTGGGAAATATATAAATCTAGTGAGTTAATAAGGTTTGAAAGGAATCTAATGCATATGTATATGGAAAATGGTGCATTGGCCAGGTCGGTCAGTATGGGAACTTAGAGTGCAAATGCCTGGGAGAACGGAAGCGCTTAGATCTCGCATAGTACACGGAATCTAGTGGTCTCACCCAAATAGAAGGTAGGAAATAAATTCATCTAGTGAACGTAAGGGTTTGAATGGTAACTAACGCACATGTGTAGAGAAAATGGTGCATCGGCCAGTCTGGCCGGCATTTCGCACTTATAGTGCAAGTAGGGCCAAGGAGAACGGAAACGCTCATTTCTCAAAAAGTAAAGGGAATCTAGCGGTCTCACTCGATCAGAAGGTGGGAAATATATAAATCTAGTGAGCTAATAAGGTTTGAAAGGAATCTAATGCATATGTATATGGAAAATGGTGCATTGGCCAGGTCGGTCAGTATGGGAACTTAGAGTGCAAATGCCAGGGAGAAAGGAAGCGCACAGATCTCGCATAGTACACGGAATCTAGTGGTCTCACTCAAATAGAAGGAAGGAAATAAATTCATCTAGTGAACGTAAGGGTTTGAAAGGTAACTAATGCACATGTGTGGAGAAAATGTTGCATCGGCCAGTCTGGCCGGCATTTCGCACTTATAGTGCAAGTAGGGCCAAGGAGAACGGAAACGCTCATTTCTCAAAAAGTAAAGGGAATCTAGCGGTCTCACTCGATCAGAAGGTGGGAAATATATAAATCTAGTGAGCTAATAAGGTTCGAAAGGAATCTAATGCATATGTATATGGAAAATGGTGCATTGGCCAGGTCGGTCAGTATGGGAACTTAGAGTACAAATGCCAGGGAGAAAGGAAGCGCTCAGATCTCGCATAGTATGTCAGAGTATTATTGCTGATGCATGTTTGTAGGCTATAGTGGGGTAGCACATATGGGGTACAGCTTTCTAGGGTTGTATTTGTACCCAACTCTGACTTAGTCATTTCATTCCTGGTCATTTATTTCACATGGTATAGAGCGAGTTCCCTGTGGGAACATTGCCTAGGGCCCACCGAAGCTCGCCCCGAGGCGCGCACCTTTTTTTTTTTAGCGACCCCATGAGTCGCCCTTTCCCTCGTGGCCCCGCCGTCCCTCAGACGCGGCCCCGCCACCCCTTCTGATCGCGGCCCCGCCACCCGATCGCGGCCCCGCCACCACGTCGCGGCCCTGCCGCCCGATCGCGGCCCCGCCGCCAGCTACGCAGCGGCCCCGCCACCTGCTCGACGCAGCCCTGCCGCCTGCTCTGACGCGGCCCTGCCGCCTACTCTTACGCGGCCCCGCCGCCCGCTACGACGCGGCCCCACCGCCTTCTCTGACGCGGCCCCGCCGCCACCTCTTACGCGGCCCCGCTGCCTGATTTGACGCGGCCCCGCCGCCACCTCTGACGCGGCCCCGCCACCTGCTCTGACGCGGCCTCGCCGCCCGCTACGACGCGGCCCAGCCGCCGACTACGACACGGCCCCGCCGCCCGCTACGCCGCCGGCCCCGCCGCCCGCTACGCCGCCGGCCCCGCCGCCTGCTCAGCCGCGGCTCCGCCGCCCTCTCTGCTGGCCCCGCCGCTCCACCATCCGCGGCCCCGCCGTCCCCGCCGCTGCACCTGCCGGCCCTGCTACTTCGGCCCCGCTGCCCCTGATCTCGCGGCCCCGCCACCCTACCTGCAGCAGCCGAGCCGCCCACCTGCAGCAGCTGAGCAGCAGTGCAGCCGAGCCGCCCTGCCGCCGAGCCGCCCGGGAGCCGAGCCACCCTGCACCCGAGCCGCCCTGCCGCCGAGCCGCCCGGGAGCCGAGCCGCCCTGCACCAGAGCTGCCCTGCCGCCGAGCCGCCCGGGAGCCGAGCCGCCCAGCAGCCGAGCCGCCCTTCTGCAGAGTTGCCCGGCCTGCCCTGCCTGGTGAGCACAGTCCCACTGTCACTGCGTGCTCTTCCCCTACTGCTTGCACTGCTTCGCTGTCGTCGTCATGGCTACCCCTAGTGTCCTGGCTTTTGACGCTGAGGGTCGCGCCATTGACTTTGAGGTCTGGGTAGACGACCTGCAGTTGTTTTTACAGTGCGATAGGGCAGACGGCCTCTCTCTCTTTGACCTTACCTCTGGCGCCTCTCCTGCTCCTGCTGCTGATGCTGATCCCACTGTGCGCTCTCAGTGGGCCACCCGCGATGCTGCTGCACGTCTTGCTGTGCGTCGCCACCTCCCTACCTCTGAGCGCGCGCACTTTAGTCAGTACAAGAGTGCTCAGACCTTGTACGACGCTGTAGTTGCGCGCTACTCCTCCCCTTCCACTGCTGCACTGAGCCGTCTCATGCTTCCCTACCTCTTTCCTGACCTCTCTGCCTTTCCCACTGTCGCTGACCTCATTACGCACCTCCGCACTAGTGACACTCGCTACCGCGCCGCCCTTCCTGCTGAGTTCTGCGCTAAGAACCCCCCCCCCCCCCATGTACATCACTCTCTACTACGTAGTCGCACGCCTCCCTGACTCCCTTCGCGTAGTCAGGGACCACTTTCTCGCAGTCTCTCCCACCACCCTCACCGTCGACGTCCTCGAGAAGGCCCTCCTCGCAGCGGAGAAGAGCATAGTCGCTGTAGGAGCTTCTCGTGGAGACCCTCGCACCCCCATCTTTGAGGGGTGCTCTCCTTCCCCCTTGCTGCCCTCTGTTGCCTCTGCTGCTGCTGCCGACCTGCTTGGTCTTGAGTCGGTCGGCGCGGCGTCTGCCCCTAGTGGGAGACGTCGCTCTGGCAAGGGCAAGGGGGGCAAGGGCGCGGGTGGAGCTGGAGGGGGCGGTGGCGGTGGCGGCGGAGGCGGCGGAGGGAGTGGGGGTGGCGGCGGGAGTAGTGGCGGGGGTGGTGGTGGCGGTGGCAGCAGCGGCGGAGGCGGCGGTGGTGGTGGCAGCGGTGTTGGTGGTGGCAGCGGCGGAGGTGGAGGCGGCGGAGGAGGCAGCAGAGGAGGCGGTGGTGGTGGAGGAGGTGGAGCTGGTCGGGGTGGTACCCAGCAGCGGAGCGGCGGTGGTGGTGGCCAGCGCTCGCAGCACCAGCAGCAGCAACAGCGTTCGCGGGACATCCCTCCGCCTCAGCAGCTTCGTGAGTGGTACACTCAGCGTCAGAGGGGTGGGGGTACTGGTCCTTGCACCTACGTCCTTCGTTCCGGCGACCGCGCGGGTGAGTAGTGTGGGGGTGCCCACCCCACCCAGCGCTGCTTTGGCCGCCTGACGGACGCTTGGCGTCAGCAGTTCCCCGGGGCTAGTGAGATCCCTCGCTGGGATGAGCTTCTTAAGGCTGGTGTAGCGATCTTTGATCTTGATTTTGATGCTATCCTTGCTGCTATGTATGCTGTGACTATTAGTGAGGAGACTGAGGGTTACCGGTGTTTCCAGCCCGACCCGGGCATTGGTACTGCTGCGCTAGGTGCTTGTGAGGCTGCTGCTCTAGGTGCCAGTGCGTCTGCGCTCTCAGGTACTGGTGAGACTGCGCCCTCAGGTACTGCGTCGCCCTCGTCCTCCCTCACTTTCACACTTGACTCTGGGGCTTCTCGCTCCTTCTTTCGAGACCGCACCACCCTTACGCCGCTTGGCCGGCCGGTTGCCGTCTCCCTGGCTGACCCCTCTGGGGGTCCTGTCCTCTCTCACTTCTCCACTGTCCTCCCGTGTCCGGCTGCCCCTTCGGGCACCCTGTCTGGTCTGTACCTTCCCTCGTTCTCTACGAACTTGGTGAGTGGCGCGGACCTGCAGGATGTGGGGGTTCACCAGTTCACTCCTGCGAGTCAGCGGGTGACCCACTGCACGGAGGCACGCACAGGCCGACACCTGGCCACGTTCTCGCGTCGGCCGGGGTCGAGTCTCTACACCCTGACCGTTGAGTCTCCTCCTGTCCCTGCGTCTGGTCAGGTGGCTGCGTCAGGTCAGGTGCTTGCTGCTGCGTCCCGGTCAGGTCCTGAGTCTGCCCCCTGTTCTTGTCGCCTCCTGTCTCACGAGACTCTCCTGTGGCACCACCGTCTTTGCCACCCCTCCTTGCCCCGTCTTCGGAGCATGGCTTCCCGTGTCCTTGTCTCTGGTCTTCCCCAGTCTCTCCCTCCCCTTCCCTCCGGGCCAGGACCTTCCTGTGTCCCCTGTGTCGAGGGTCGCCTCCGGGCTGCTCCTCACTCCTCCCAGTTCCCCCCGACCGAGGCTCCTCTGCAGACGCTTCACATGGACGTGTGGGGCCCAGCCCCCGTCCGTGGGCAGGGTCACGAGCGCTACTTTCTGTTGGTGGTTGACGACTACTCGCGTTACACCACAGTCCTCCCCTTGCGCAGCAAGGGTGCTGTCACTGAGGTGCTGATCGACTGGATCCGCGAGGCTCGTCTCCAGCTCAGGAAGAGCTTCAGCTCGGACTTTCTTGTTCTGCGTCTGCACTCGGACAGAGGCGGAGAGTTCTCCTCGCGCCTTCTGCGAGACTACTGTCGTGCACGGGGGATCCGCCAGACCTTTACGCTTCCGGACTCTCCACAGCAAAATGGGATTGCTGAGCGCCGCATTGGCATGGTCATGGATGTCGCTCGTACGTCCATGATGCATGCGGCTGCCCCCCATTTTCTGTGGCCGTTTGCGGTGAGGTACGCGGCGCATCAGCTCAACCTTCACTCCAGGGTCTCTCGGCCCGCGATGTCCCCAGTCTTGCTGTGGACGGGGAAGGTTGGCGATGCGTCGACGTTCCGTGTCTGGGGATCTCGGGCGTTTGTCCGCGACTTGTCTGCGGACAAGCTGTCCCCTCGTGCTGCTCCCTGTGTCTTCCTTGGCTTCCCCACTGACGCTCCAGGGTGGCAGTTTTACCACCCCTCCTCTCGTCGTGTTCTGTCCTCCCAGGACGTCACGTTCGACGAGTCAGTCCCCTTCTACCGCCTCTTCCCCTACCGCACTCCTTCCTTTCCCCCTCCGCCGGACATCCTTGTGCCGGTTCCCCCCCCGGTAGACCCACTCCCCCCTCAGGTTCCTGCCCCCTCAGGTGTGTCCCAGGTAGACGCAGTTGACCCGGTCGAGGTTACTGGTGACTCTGGTGCTGCTGCGGGTGCTGAGCCTGTGGGTGCTGACTCTGGGGGTGCTGTGCGCGGGGGTGCCGGGCCTGGAGGTGCTGCTACTGGGGGTGCTGAGCCTGGGGGTGCTGGGCCTGGGGATACTACTGCGGAGGGTGCTGCGTCGGGGGGTGCTGTGCCTGGAGCTGCTGAGCCTAGGGGTGCTGAGTCTGGAGCTGCTGAGCCTGGGGGTGCTGAGCCTGGGGTTTCTCCTGCTGCTGCGTCTCGACGGGAGCCCCTCTCTCCCCAGGAGCTGCGCGAGTGGTTTGCTCGCCGCTGGAGGCGTGCTGCTGGAGCTGGAGCTTCTTCGACCGTCGAGGGTGCTGGTGCTGCCGGTCCCGGAGCTGCTGGGCCTGCGGGTCCTCCTGGAGCTGGAGCTGCTGAGGGTGGTGGTGCAGAGACCACTGCTGTCTGTCCTCTCGGTGGTTCTGCTGCTGGTACTGCTGGAGGTCCTGCCGCTGGAGGTGTTGGTGGCGCTGGTACTGTCGCTGAGGGTGCTGGTGCTGTCCCTGCTGAGTCTGGAGCTGCCGCGCGGCCTCGGCCGTACTTCGTTCCGCTCCTGCAATAGTCCTTGGTCTTTCTCCTCCGGTAGAGGGTCCACAGCCTATCCAGTCACAGTCACTCTTGGAGCCTTCCTCTCCTCTGCCTGCTCCCTCTCCTTACACTGGTCCTACTGGAGGTCTTACTGAGCGTCGTGAGCCTGCGTCTCGTCCCGCGTCGCCTGTTCGTGCTGCTCGCGCTAGTGGTCGCGGTTCGCGTCAGCGTCCTCCTCCTGTCCCTGGCACGCACCGGATGTCTCTGCGTCCGTCCACTGCTCCTCTACGTGCCCCTTTGCCTTCTCCGCCTGAGTCCTCTCTTCCTGCGCTTGCCGACCCTGAGTCGGACTCTCTTCGTGCTGCCAGTCCTACTGTCCCGCGTCTGCTTGCTACTGTCGTCACTGACCCCTCGTTTGAGTCCACTGCTGCGTCTGCTCTTGTCGCTGAGCTCGTCGACTTTGCTGCTCGCTGTCGTCTAGACTGCGCTGCTAGTCTTGTTGCTGAGTCTGCGTCTGTCTGTCCTCCGTCCGTCGGGGGTGAGTGTGCTCTTGGCACGGACGTTCTAGAGGACAGGCAGGAGGAGTTACAGTGTCTGGCTGCTGCTTCACCTCATCTCGCGTCTGTACTGCTTGCTCCTGAGGGAGACCCGGATGCACTAGACATCCCGACTCCGCGCTCTTACGCGGAGGCCGTAGAGGGTCCCTACTCCTCTCAGTGGCAGGCAGCTATGGATGCAGAGATGGCTTCCTGGAAGTCCACAAGCACCTACGTTGACGCAGTTCCCCCTCCTGGGGCGAACATCGTCAGTGGCATGTGGATCTTCCGGGTGAAGCGGCCGCCGGGCTCTCCACCTGTCTTCAAGGTGCGGTACGTTGCTCGTGGCTTCAGCCAGCGGCAAGGAGTTGACTACTTTCAGACCTTCTCTCCCACCCCGAAGATGACCACTCTTCGGGTGCTGCTGCACATAGCCGCTCAGCGCGACTACGAGCTTCACTCTCTCGACTTCAGCACTGCGTTCCTGCAGGGTAGCCTGCACGAGGAGATCTGGCTGCGCCGTCCACCTGGCTTCACTGGGACTTTCCCTCCTGGCACCCAGTGGAGCCTCCGACGGCCAGTCTACGGTCTCCGCCAGGCACCGCGTGAGTGGCACGACACACTGAGGACTACGCTTGCGGCTCTTGGGTTTGCTCCTTCTACTGCTGACCCGTCGCTGTTTCTGCGCACCGACACTTCTCTGCCGCCGTTCTACATCCTCGTGTACGTCGACGACTTGGTCTTTGCCACAGCGGACACCGCTAGACTCACCTACGTGAAGTCCGAGCTGCTGAAGAGACACACGTGCACAGACCTGGGTGAACTGCGCAGCTACCTTGGCTTGCAGATCACTCGGAACAGAGCATGCCGCACCATTACCTTGACTCAGTCACACATGGTGCAGCAGGTCCTTCAGCGCTTCGGCTTCACGTACTCCTCGCCTCAGGCCACTCCTCTGTCTACTCGTCACTCGCTCTCAGCTCTGCCTTCGGATGAGTCCGTGGAGTCGAGTGGCCCGTACCCAGAGCTTGTTGGCTGCCTCATGTACCTGATGACCTGCACACGACCTGACCTTGCATACCCTCTGAGCATTCTTGCACGCTATGTTGCTCCTGGGAGAAACCGACCAGAGCACATGGCTGCAGCGAAGAGGGTGTTGCGCTACCTGTGCAGTACGTCGGGCATGGGGCTAGTGCTTGGAGGGCTGAGTCCAGTGGTCCTTACAGGGCACGCGGACGCTTCTTGGGCTGACGACCAGGCTACGCAGCGGTCGTCACAGGGTTACACCTTCAGTCTTGGTTCCGGCTCTGTCTCGTGGCGGTCTACTCGCTCGTCTTCGGTTCTCAGCTCCAGTTGTGAGGCTGAGATCTACGCTCGGGCCATGGCTGCACAGGAGCTTCGCTGGCTCACCTACCTGCTGACTGACCTTGGAGAGCCGCCTCGTTCTCCTCCAGTGCTGTACGTAGACAACAAGGCCATGCTGGCCTTATGTCGAGAGCAGCGCTTGGAGCACAGAACGAAGCACATTGCTCTCCGCTACTTCCTTGCTTGTGAGCTGCAGCAGCGTGGTCAGTTGCGACTTGCGTACGTGGCCTCTGAGGCCAACACTGCTGATGTGTTCACCAAGGCACTCGCGCCTTGTGACCATCAGCGCTTCTGCAACCAGCTCGGTCTTGTGCCTGTCTTGCCTCACTTGCTCTCTTCTTGACTTTACTTGTTCTGTGACATATATATACCTGCTCCTGCTTGTCTAGTTTTATATATATGTCTGTACTCCTGCATGTGAACAGGCCTCTGGCCCTGCTCTTGTGCTCAGACTGTGTGGTGACTTTGTGATCCACCCTGAGCTTGCTTTGCTTTGCTTTGGTTGACTGGTCTTGTGACCCCTTGTTCTCCCCCACTTTGCCTATGGGGGTGTGTCAGAGTATTATTGCTGATGCATGTTTGTAGGCTATAGTGGGGTAGCACATATAGGGTACAGCTTTCTAGGGTTGTATTTGTACCCAACTCTGACTTAGTCATTTCATTCCTGGTCATTTATTTCACATAGTACACGGAATCTAGTGGTCTCACTCAAATAGAAGGTAGGAAATAAATTCATCTAGTGAACGTAAGGGTTTGAAAGGTAACTAACGCACATGTGTAGAGAAAATGGTGCATCGGCCAGTCTGGCCGGCATTTCGCACTTATAGTGCAAGTAGGGCCAAGGAGAACGGAAACGCTCATTTCTCAAAAAGTAAAGGGAATCTAGCGGTCTCACTCGATCAGAAGGTGGGAAATATATAAATCTAGTGAGCTAATAAGGTTCGAAAGGAATCTAATGCATATGTATATGGAAAATGGTGCATTGGCCAGGTCGGTCAGTATGGGAACTTAGAGTGCAAATGCCAGGGAGAACGGAAGTGCTCAGATCTCGCATAGTACACGGAATCTAGTGGTCTCACTCAAATAGAAGGTAGGAAATAAATTCATCTAGTGAACGTAAGGGTTTGAAAGGTAACTAACGCACATGTGTAGAGAAAATGGTGCATCGGCCAGTCTGGCCGGCATTTCGCACTTATAGTGCAAGTAGGGCGAAGGAGAACGGAAACACTCATTTCTCAAAAAGTAAAGGGAATCTAGCGGTCTCACTCGATCATAAGGTGGGAAATATATAAATCTAGTGAGCTAATAAGGTTCGAAAGGAATCTAATACATATGTATATGGAAAATGGTGCATTGGCCAGGTCGGTCAGTAAAGGAACTTAGAGTGCAAATGCCAGGGAGAACGGAAGCGCTCAGATCTCGCATAGTACACGGAATCTAGTGGTCTCACTCAAATAGAAGGTAGGAAATAAATTCATCTAGTGAACGTAAGGGTTTGAAAGGTAACTAACGCACATGTGTAGAGAAAATGGTGCATCGGCCAGTCTGGCCGGCATTTCGCACTTATAGTGCAAGTAGGGCCAAGGAGAACGGAAACGCTCATTTCTGAAAAAGTAAAGGGAATCTAGCGGTCTCACTCGATCAGAAGGTGGGAAATATATAAATCTAGTGAGCTAATAAGGTTTGAAGGAATCTAATGCATATGTAGAGAGAAAATGGTGCATTGGCCAGGTCGGTCAGTATGGGAACTTAGAGTGCAAATGCCAAGGAGAACGGAAGTGCTCAGATCTCGCATAGTACACGGAATCTAGTGGTCTCACTCAAATAGAAGGTAGGAAATAAATTCATCTAGTGAACGTAAGGGTTTGAAAGGTAACTAACGCACATGTGTAGAGAAAATGGTGCATCGGCCAGTCTGGCCGGCATTTCGCACTTATAGTGCAAGTAGGGCCAAGGAGAACGGAAACACTCATTTCTCAAAAAGTAAAGGGAATCTAGCGGTCTCACTCGATCAGAAGGTGGGAAATATATAAATCTAGTGAGCTAATAAGGTTCGAAAGGAATCTAATGCGTATGTATATGGAAAATGGTGCATTGGCCAGGTCGGTCATTATGGGAACTTAGAGTGCAAATGCCAGGGAGAACGGAAGCGCTCAGATCTCGCATAGTACACGGAATCTAGTGGTCTCACTCAAATAGAAGGTAGGAAATAAATTCATCTAGTGAACGTAAGGTTTTAAAAGGTAACTAACGCACATGTGTAGAGAAAGTGGTGCGTCGGCCAGTCTGGCCGGCATTTCGCACTTATAGTGCAAGTAGGGCCAAGGAGAACGGAAACGCTCATTTCTCAAAAAGTAAAGGGAATCTAGCGGTCTCACTCGATCAGAAGGTGGGAAATATATAAATCTAGTCAGCTTATAAGGTTCACAAGGAATCTAATGCATATGTATATGGAAACTGGTGCATTGGCCAGGTCGGTCAGTATGGCAACTTAGAGTGCAAATGCCTGGGAGAACGGAACCGCTCAGATCTCGCATAGTACACGGAATCTAGTGGTCTCACTCAAATAGAAGGTAGGAAATAATTTCATCTAGTGAACGTAAGGGATTGAAAGGTAACTAACGCACATGTGTGGAGAAAATGGTGCATCGGCCAGTCTGGCCGGCATTTCGCACTTATAGTGCAAGTAGGGCCAAGGAGAACGGAAACGCTCATTTCTCAAAAAGTAAAGGGAATCTAGCGGTCTCACTCGATCAGAAGGTGGGAAATATATAAATCTAGTGAGCTAATAAGGTTCGAAAGGAATCTAATGCATATGTATATGGAAAGTGGTGCATTGGCCAGGTCGGTCAGTATGGGAACTTAGAGTGCAAATGCTTGGGAGACAGAACCGCTCAGATCTCGCATAATACAGGGAATCTAGTGGTCTCACTCAAATATAAGGTAGGAAATAAATTCATCTAGTGAACGTAAGGGTTTGAAAGGTAACTAACGCACATGTGTAGAGAAAATGGTGCATCGGCCAGTCTGGCCGGCATTTCGCACTTATAGTGCAAGTAGGGCCAAGGAGAACGGAAACGCTCATTTCTCAAAAAGTAAAGGGAATCTAGCAGTCTCACTCGATCAGAAGGTGGGAAATATATAAATCTAGTGAGCTTATAAGGTTCAAAAGGAATCTAATGCATATGTATATGGAAAGTGGTGCATTGGCCAGGTCGGTCAGTATGGGAACTTAGAGTGCAAATGCCTGGGAGAATGGAACCGCTCAGTTTCGCATAATACACGGAATCTAGTGGTCTCACTCAAATATAAGGTAGGAAATATATACATCTAGTGAACGTAAGGGTTTGAAAGGTAACTAATGCACATGTGTAGAGAAAATGGTGCATCGGCCAGTCTGGCCGGCATTTCGCACTCATAGTGCAGGTGGGGCCAGGTAGAACGGAAACGCTCGTTTCTCAAAAAGTAGAAGGAATCTAACGGTCTCACTCGATCAGAAGGTGGGAAATATATAAATCTAGTCAGCTAAAAAGGTTTGAAATGTATTCAACGCACATGTATAGAAAAAATGGTGCATTGGCCAGGTCGGTCAGTATCGGAACTTAAAATGCAAATGCCAGGGAGAACGGAAGCGCTCAGATCTCGCATAGTACACGGAATCTAGTGGTCTCACTCAAATAGAAGGTAAGAAATAAATTCATCTAGTGAACGTAAGGGTTCGAAAGGTAACTAACGCACATGTGTAGAGAAAATGGTGCATCGGCCAGTCTGGCCGGCATTTCGCACTTATAGTGCAAGTAGGGCCAAGGAGAACGGAAACGCTAATTTCTCAACAAGTAAAGGGAATCTAGCGGTCTCACTCGATTAGAAGGTGGGAAATATATAAATCTAGTGAGTTTATAAGGTTCGAAAGGAATCTAATGCATATGTATATGGAAAATGGTGCATTGGCCAGGTCGGTCAGTATGGGAACTTAGAGTGCAAATGCCTGGGAGAACAGAACCGCTCAGATCTCGCATAATACACGGAATCTAGTGGTCTCACTCAAATATAAGGTAGGAAATATAATCATCTAGTGAACGTAAGGGTTGAAAGGTAACTAATGCACATGTGTAGAGAAAATGGTGCATCGGCCAGTCTGGCCGGCATTTCGCACTCATAGTGCAGGTTGGGCCAGGTAGAACGGAAACGCTCGTTTCTCAAAAAGTAGAGGGAATCTAACGGTCTCACTCGATCAGAAGGTGGGAAATATATAAATCTAGTCAGCTAAAAAGGTTTGAAATGTATTCAACGCACATGTATAGAGAAAATGGTGCATTGGCCAGGTCGGTCAGTATCGGAACTTAAAATGCAAATGCCAGGGAGAACGGAAGCGCTCAGATCTCGCATAGTACACGGAATCAAGTGGTCTCACTCAAATAGAAAGTAGGAAATATATTCATCTAGTGAACGTAAGGGTTTGAAAGGTAACTAACGCACATGTGTAGAGAAAATTGTGCATCGGCCAGTCTGGCCGGCATTTCGCACATATAGTGCAACTAGGGCCAAGGAGAACGGAAACGCTCATTTCTCAAAAAGAAGAGGGAATCTAGTGGTCTCACTCGATCAGAAGGTGGGAAATATATAAATCTAGTGAGCTAATAAGGTTCGAAAGGAATCTAATGCATATGTATATGGAAAATGGTGCATTGGCCAGGTCGGTCAGTATGGGAACTTAGAGTGCAAATGCCAGGGAGAACGGAAGCGCTCAGATCTCGCATAGTACACAGAATCTAGTGGTCTCACTCAAATAGAAGGTAGGAAATAAATTCATCTAGTGAACGTAAGGGTTTGAAAGGTAACTAGACGCGCACATGAACGTGGACATGGACGTAGACGTGGACGTCGACGTGGACGCGGACGTGGACGTGGACGTGGACGTGGTCGTGGACGCGGACGTGGACGTGGACGTGGACATGGACGTAGACATGGTCGTGGACGTGGACATGGACGTGGACGTGGACGCGGACGTGGACGTGGGCGTGGACGTGGAGGACGTGGACGTGGAGGACTTGGACGTGGACGTGGACGTGGACGTGGACGTGGACGTGGAGAACTTGGACGTGGACATGGACGTGAACGTGGACCTGGACGTGGACATGGACGTGGACGTGGACGTGGACGTGGACGTGGACGTGGAGGTGGACGTGGACGTGGAGGTGGACGTGGAGTGGACGTGGACGTGGACGTGGACGTGGACATGGACGTGGACGTGGACGTGGACGTGGACGTGGACGTGGACGTGGACGTGGACATGGACGTGGACGTAGACGTAGACGTGGACGTGGACGTGGACATGGACGTGGACGTGGACGTGGACGTGGACGTGGAGGACGTGGACGTGGACGTGGACGAGGACGTGGACGTGGACGTGGAGAACTTGGACGTGGACATGGACGTGAACGTGGACGTGGACGTGGACGTGGAGGACTTGGACGTGGACATGGACGTGGACGTGGAGTGGACGTGGACGTGGACGTTGACGTGGACGTGGAAGTGGACATGGACGTGGACGTGGACGTGACGTGGACGTGGACGTGGACGTGACGTGGACGTGGACGTGGACGTGGACGTGGACGTGGACGTGGACGTGGACGTGGACATGGAGGTGGACGTGGACGTGGACGTGGACATGGACGTGGACATGGACGTGGACGTGGACGTGGACATGGACGTGGACGTGGACGTGGACGTGGACGTGGAGTGGACGTAGAGTGGACGTGGAGTGGACGTGGACGTGGACGTGGACGTGGACGTGGACGTGGAGAACTTGGACGTGGACATGGACGTGAACGTGGACGTGGATATGGACGTGGAGGACTTGGACGTGGACATGGACGTGGACGTGGACGTGGACATGGACGTGGACGTGGACGTGGACGTGGACGTGGACGTGGACATGGACCTGGACATGGACGTGGACGTGGACGTGGACATGGACGTGGACGTGGACATGGTCGTGGACGTGGACGTGGACGTGGACGTGGACATGGACGTGGACGTGAACAAGACGTGGACGTGAACATGGACGTGGACATGGACGTGGACGTGGACATGGACGTGGACGTGGACGTGGACGTGGACGTGGAGAACTTGGATGTGGACATGGACGTGAACGTGGACCTGGACGTGGACATGGACGTGGACGTGGACGTGGACGTGGACGTGGACGTGGAGGTGGACCTGGACGTGGACGTGGACGTGGAGTGGACGTGGACGTGGACGTGGACGTGGAGTGGACGTGGACGTGGACGTGGACGTTGACGTGGACGTGGACGTGGACGTGGACGTGGACGTGGACGTGGACGTAGACGTGGACGTGGACATGGACGTGGACGTGGACGTGGACGTGGAGGACGTGGACGTGGACGTGGACGTGGACGTGGACGTGGACGTGGAGAACTTGGACGTGGACATGGACGTGGACGTGGAGGACTTGGACGTGGACATGGACGTGGACGTGGAGTGGACGTGGACGTGGACGTGGACGTTGACGTGGACGTGGACGTGGACCTGGACGTGGACGTGGACGTGACGTGGACGTGGACGTGGACGTGGACGTGGACATGGACGTGGACGTGGACGTGGACATGGAGGTGGACGTGGACGTGGACGTGGACATGGACGTGGACGTGGACGTGGACGTGGACATGGACGTGGACATGGACGTGGACGTGGACGTGGACGTGGAGTGGACGTGGAGTGGACGTGGACGTGGACGTGGACGTGAACGTGGACGTGGACGTGGACGTGGACGTGGACGTGGACGTGGAGGACGTCGACGTGGACGTGGACGTGGACGTGGACATGGACGTGGACGTGGACATGGACATGGACGTGGACGTGGACGTGGACATGGACGTGGACCTGGACATGGACGTGGACGTGGACGTGGACGTGGACATGGACGTGGACGTGGACATGGTCGTGGACGTGGACGTGGACGTGGACGTGGACATGGACGTGGACGTGGACGTGGACATGGACGTGGACATGGACATGGACATGGACGTGGACGTGGACGTGGACATGGACGTGGACCTGGACATGGACGTGGACGTGGACGTGGACATGGACGTGGACGTGGACATGGTCGTGGACGTGGACGTGGACGTGGACGTGGACATGGACGTGGACGTGAACAAGACGTGGACGTGAACATGGACGTGGACATGGACGTGGACGTGGACATGGACGTGGACGTGGACGTGGATGTGGACGTGGACGTGGACGTGGAGAACTTGGACGTGGACATGGACGTGAACGTGGACCTGGACGTGGACATGGACGTGGACGTGGACGTGGAGGTGGACGTGGACGTGGAGGTGGACGTGGAGTGGACGTGGACGTGGACGTGGAGAACTTGGACGTGGACATGGACGTGAACGTGGACGTGGACGTGGACGTGGAGGACTTGGACGTGGACATGGACGTGGACGTGGAGTGGACGTGGTCGTGGACGTGCACGTTGACGTGGACGTGGACGTGGACATGGACGTGGACGTGGACGTGACGTGGACGTGGACGTGGACGTGGACGTGGACGTGGATGTGGACGTGGACGTGGACATGGAGGTGGACGTGGACGTGGACGTGGACATGGACGTGGACGTGGACGTGGACGTGGACGTGGACATGGACGTGGACATGGACGTGGACGTGGACGTGGACGTGGAGTGGACGTGGAGTGGACGTGGACGTGGACATGGACGTGGACGTGGACGTGGACGTGGACGTGGACGTGGACGTGGACGTGGAGGACGTGGACGTGGACGTGGACGTGGACGTGGAGAACTTGGACGTGGACATGGACGTGAACGTGGACGTGGACGTGGACATGGAGGACATGGACGTGGACATGGACGTGGACGTGGACGTGGACATGGACGTGGACGTGGACGTGGACGTGGACGTGGACGTAGACGTGGACATGGACGTGGACGTAGACGTGGACGTGGACGTGGACATGGACCTGGACATGGACGTGGACGTGGACGTGGACATGGACGTGGACGTGGACATGGTCGTGTACGTGGACGTGGACGTGGACGTGGACGTGGACATGGACATGGACGTGGACGTGGACGTGGACATGGACGTGGACGTGGACGTGGACGTGGACGTGGACGTAGACGTGGACATGGACGTGGACGTAGACGTGGACGTGGACGTGGACATGGACCTGGACATGGACGTGGACGTGGACGTGGACATGGACGTGGACGTGGACATGGTCGTGTACGTGGACGTGGACGTGGACGTGGACATGGACGTGGACGTGAACAAGACGTGGACGTGAACATGGACGTGGACATGGACGTGGACGTGGACATGGACGTGGACGTGGACGTGGACGTGGACGTGGACGTGGAGAACTTGGACGTGGACATGGACGTGAACGTGGACCTGGACGTGGACATGGACGTGGACGTGGACGTGGACGTGGACGTGGACGTGGAGGTGGACGTGGACGTGGAGGTGGACGTGGAGTGGACGTGGACGTGGACGTGGACGTGGACGTGGACGTGGACGTGGACGTGGACGTGGACGTAGACATGGACGTGGACGTGGACGTGGACGTGGACGTGGACGTGGACATGGACGTGGACGTAGACGTGGACGTGGACATGGACGTGGACGTAGACGTAGACGTGGACGTGGACGTGGACATGGACGTGGACGTGGACGTGGACGTGGACGTGGAGGACGTGGACGTGGACGTGGATGTGGACGTGGACGTGGACGTGGAGAACTTGGACGTGGACATGGACGTGAACGTGGACGTGGACGTGGACGTGGAGGACTTGGACGTGGACATGGACGTGGACGTGGAATGGACGTGGACGTGGACGTGGACGTTGACGTGGACGTGGACATGGACGTGGACGTAGACGTAGACGTGGACGTGGACGTGGACATGGACGTGGACGTGGACGTGGACGTGGACGTGGAGGACGTGGACGTGGACGTGGACGTGGACGTGGACGTGGACGTGGAGAACTTGGACGTGGACATGGACGTGAACGTGGACGTGGACGTGGACGTGGAGGACTTGGACGTGGACATGGACGTGGACGTGGAATGGACGTGGACGTGGACGTGGACGTTGACGTGGACGTGGACATGGACGTGGACGTGGACGTGACGTGGACGTGGACGTGGACGTGGACGTGGACATGGACGTGGACGTGGACAAGGACATGGAGGTGGACGTGGACGTGGACGTGGAGGTGGACGTGGACGTGGACGTGGAGGTGGACGTGGACATGGACGTGAACGTGGACGTGGTCATGGACGTGGACGTGGACGTGGACGTGGACGTGGACGTGGAGTGGACGTGGAGTGGACGTGGACGTGGACATAGACGTGGACGTGGACGTGGACGTGGACGTGGACGTGGAGGACGTGGACGTGGACGTGGACGTGGACGTGGACGTGGAGGACGTGGACGTGGACATGGACGTGGACGTGGAGAACTTGGACGTGGACATGGACGTGAACGTGGACGTGGACGTGGACGTGGAGGACTTGGACGTGGACGTGGACGTGGACGTGGACATGGACGTGGACGTGGACGTGGACGTGGACGTGGACATGGACGTGGACGTGGACGTGGACGTGGACGTGGACATGGACCTGGACATGGACGTGGACGTGGACGTGGACGTGGACATGGACGTGGACGTGGACATGGTCGTGGACGTGGACGTGGACGTGGACGTGGACGTGGACATGGACGTGGACGTGAACAAGACGTGGACGTGAACATGGACGTGGACGTGGACGTGGACGTGGACATGGACATGGACGTGGACGTGGACGTGGACGTGGACGTGGAGAACTTGGACGTGGACATGGACGTGAACGTGGACCTGGACGTGGACGTGGACGTGGACGTGGACGTGGACGTGGAGGTGGACGTGGAGGTGGACGTGGAGGTGGACGTGGAGGTGGACGTGGAGTGGACGTGGACGTGGACGTGGACGTGGACGTGGACGTGGACATGGACGTGGACGTGGACGTGGACGTTGACGTGGACGTGGACATGGACGTGGACGTGGACGTGACGTGGACGTGGACGTGGACATGGACGTGGACATGGACGTGGACGTGGACAAGGACATGGAGGTGGACGTGGACGTGGACGTGGAGGTGGACGTGGACGTGGACGTGGAGGTGGACGTGGACATGGACGTGGACGTGGACGTGGTCATGGACGTGGACGTGGACGTGGACGTGGACGTGGACGTGGACGTGGAGTGGACGTGGAGTGGACGTGGACGTGGACATGGACGTGGACGTGGACGTGGACGTGGACGTGGACGTGGACGTGGACGTGGAGGACGTGGACGTGGACGTGGACGTGGACGTGGACGTGGAGGACGTGGACGTGGACATGGACGTGGACGTGGAGAACTTGGACGTGGACATGGACGTGAACGTGGACGTGGACGTGGACGTGGAGGACTTGGACGTGGACGTGGACGTGGACGTGGACATGGACGTGGACGTGGACGTGGACGTGGACGTGGACGTGGACATGGACGTGGACGTGGACGTGGACGTGGACGTGGACATGGACCTGGACATGGACGTGGACGTGGACGTGGACGTGGACATGGACGTGGACGTGGACATGGTCGTGGACGTGGACGTGGACGTGGACATGGACGTGGACGTGAACAAGACGTCGACGTGAACATGGACGTGGACGTGGACGTGGACGTGGACATGGACGTGGACGTGGACGTGGACGTGGACGTGGACGTGGAGAACTTGGACGTGGACATGGACGTGAACGTGGACCTGGACGTGGACGTGGACGTGGACGTGGACGTGGACGTGGAGGTGGACGTGGAGGTGTACGTGGAGGTGGACGTGGAGGTGGACGTGGAGTGGACGTGGACGTGGACGTGGACGTGGACGTGGACATGGACGTGGACGTGGACGTGGACGTGGACGTGGACGTGGACATGGACGTGGACATGGACGTGGACGTGGACGTGGACGTGGACATGGACGTGGACGTATACGTAGACGTGGACGTGGACGTGGACGTGGACGTAGACGTAGACGTGGACGTGGACGTGGACATGGACGTGGACGTGGACGTGGAGGACGTGGACGTGGACGTGGACGTGGAGAACTTGGACGTGGACCTGGACGTGAACGTGGACGTGGACGTGGACGTGGAGGACTTGGACGTGGACGTGGACGTTGACGTGGACGTGGACAAGGACATGGACGTGGACGTGGACGTGACGTGGACGTGGACGTGGACGTGGACATGGACGTGGACGTGGACGTGGACGTGGACATGGAGGTGGACGTGGACATGGACGTGGACATGGACGTGGACATGGAAGTGGACGTGGACGTGGACATGGACGTGGACATGGACGTGGACGTGGACGTGGACGTGGACGTGGAGTGGACGTGGAGTGGACGTGGACGTGGACGTGGACGTGGACGTGGACGTGGACGTGGACGTGGAGGACGTGGACGTGGACGTGGACGTGGACGTGGAGAACTTGGACGTGGACATGGACGTGAACGTGGACGTGGACGTGGACGTGGAGGACTTGGACGTGGACATGGACGTGGACGTGGACATGGACGTGGACGTGGGCGTGGAAGTGGACATGGAGGTGGACGTGGACGTGGACATGGACGTGGACATGGACGTGGACGTGGACGTGGACATGGACGTGGACATGGACATGGACGTGGACGTGGAGTGGACGTGGAGTGGACGTGGACGTGGACGTGGACGTGGACGTGGACGTGGACGTGGACGTGGAGGACGTGGACGTGGACGTGGACGTGGACGTGGAGAACTTGGACGTGGACATGGACGTGAACGTGGACGTGGACGTGGACGTGGAGGACTTGGACGTGGACATGGACGTGGACGTGGACGTGGACATGGACGTGGACGTGGGCGTGGACGTGGACGTGGACGTAGACGTGGACATGGACGTGGACGTGGACGTGGACGTGGACATGGACATGGACATGGACGTGGACGTGGACGTGGACGTGGACGTGGACGTGGACGTGGACATGGTCGTGGACGTGGACGTGGACGTGGACGTGGACGTGGACATGGACATGGACGTGAACAAGACGTGGACGTGAACATGGACGTGGACATGGACGTGGACGTGGACATGGACGTGGACGTGGACGTGGACGTGGACGTGGAGAACTTGGACGTGGACATGGACGTGAACGTGGACCTGGACGTGGACATGGACGTGGACGTGGACGTGGACGTGGACGTGGACGTGGACGTGGACGTGGAGGTGGACGTGGACGTGGAGGTGGACGTGGAGTGGACGTGGACGTGGACGTGGACGTGGACGTGGACGTGGACTTGGACGTGGACGTGGACGTGGACGTGGACGTGGACGTGGACATGGACGTGGACATGGACGTGGACGTGGACGTGGACGTGGACATGGACGTGGACGTAGACGTGGACGTGGACGTGGACGTGGACATGGACGTGGACGTGGACGTGGAGGACGTGGACGTGGACGTGGACGTGGACGTGGAGAACTTGGACGTGGACATGGACGTGAACGTGGACGTGGACGTGGACGTGGAGGACTTGGACGTGGACATGGACGTGGACGTGGAGTGGACGTGGACGTGGACGTGGACGTTGACGTGGACGTGGACGTGGACATGGACATGGACGTGGACGTGACGTGGACGGGGACGTGGACGTGGACGTGGACGTGGACGTGGACATGGAGAAGGACGTGGACGTGGACGTGGACGTGGACGTGGACGTGGACGTTGACGTGGACGTGGACGTGGACATGGACATGGACGTGGACGTGACGTGGACGGGGACGTGGACGTGGACGTGGACGTGGACGTGGACATGGAGAAGGACGTGGACGTGGACGTGGACATGGACGTGGACGTGGACGTGGACATGGACGTGGACATGGACGTGGACGTGGACGTGGACGTGGACGTGGAGTGGACGTGGAGTGGACGTGGACGTGGACGTGGACGTGGACGTGGAGGACGTGGACGTGGACGTGGACGTCGAGAACTTGGACGTGGACATGGACGTGAACGTGGACGTGGACGTGGACGTGGAGGACTTGGACGTGGACATGGACGTGGACGTGGACGTGGACATGGACGTGGACGTGGACGTGGACGTGGACGTGGACCTGGACATGGACGTGGACGTAGACGTGGACGTGGACATGGACCTGGACATGGACGTGGACGTGGACGTGGACGTGGACATGGACGTGGACGTGGACATGGTCGTGGACGTGGACGTGGACGTGGACGTGGACATGGACGTGGACGTGAACAAGACGTGGACGTGAACATGGACGTGGACATGGACGTGGACATGGACATGGACGTGGACGTGGACGTGGACGTGGACGTGGACGTGGACGTGGACGTGGAGAACATGGACGTGGACATGGACGTGAACGGTGACCTGGACGTGGACATGGACGTGGACGTGGACGTGGACGTGGACGTTGACGTGGACGTGGAGTGGACGTGGACGTGGACGTGGACGTGGACGTGCACGTGGACGTGGACGTGGACGTGGACGTGGACGTGGACGTGGACATGGACGTGGACATGGACGTGGACGTGGACGTGGACGTGGACATGGACGTGGACGTAGACGTAGACGTGGACGTGGACGTGGACATGGACGTGGACGTGGACGTGGACGTGCACGTGGAGGACGTGGACGTGGACGTGGACGTGGACGTGGAGAACTTGGAGGTGGACATGGACGTGAACGTGGACGAGGACGTGGACGTGGAGGACTTGGACGTGGACATGGACGTGGACGTGGAGTGGACGTGGACGTGGACGTTGACGTGGACGTGGACGTGGACATGGACGTGGACGTGGACGTGACGTGGACGTGGACGTGGACATGGACCCTTGTTCTTGCAATTTAGCACACGCTATGCCCTTGTTCTTTTTATTTTGCACACGCTAGGCCCTTATTCTTGCAATTTCGCACATGCTATACCTTTGTTCTTTTTATTTTGCACACGCTAGGCCCTTGTTCTTGCTATTTTGCACACGCTATGCCCTTGTTCTTTTTACTTTGAACACGCTAGGCCCTTGTTCTTGCAATTTTGCACATGCTAGACCCTTGTTCTTTTTATTTTGCACACGCTAGCCCCTTGTTCTTGCTATTTCGCGAACGCTAGGCCCTTGTTCTTGATTTATTGCACACGCTAGGCCCTTGCTCTTGCTAATTTGCACTCGCTAGGCCCTTGTTCTTGCAATTTTGCAGATGCTAGGCCCTTGTTCATGCAATTTTGCACATGCTAGCCCTTTGATATTTTTATTTTGCACACGATAGGCATTTGTTCTTTTTATTTTGCACACGCTAGGCCCTTGTTCTTGCAATTTTGCACACGCTAGGCCCTTGTTCTCTTTATTTTGCACATGCTAGTCCCTTGTTCTTTATATTTTGCACACGCTAGGCCCCTGTTCTTGCTATTTTGCACATGCTATGCCCTTGTTCTTTTTATTTTGCACACGCTAGGCCCTTGTTCTTGCAATTTTGCACATGCTAGACCCTTGTTCTTTTTATTTTGCACACGCTAGGCCCTTGTTTTTGCTATTTCGCGAATGCTAGGCCCTTGTTCTTGATTTTTTGCACACGCTAGGCCCTTGCTCTTGCTATTTTGCACTCGCTAAGCCCTCGTTCTTGCAATTTTGCACATGCTAGGCCCTTGTTCTTGCAATTTTGCAAACGCTAGGCCCTTGGTCTTTTTAGTTTGCACACGCTAGGCCCTTGTTCTTGCTATTTCGCGAACCCTATGCCCTTGTTCTTGATTTTTTGCACACGCTAGGCCCTTGCTCTAGCTATTTTGCACACGCTAGGCCCTTGTTCTTGCAATTTTGCACACGCTAGGCCCTTGTTCTTGCATTTTTGCACACCCTAGGCCCTTGTTCTTTTTATTTTGCACATGCTAGGCCCTTGTTCTTGTATTTTGCACATGCTAGGCCCTTGTTCTTGCTATTTTGCACACGCTATGCCCTTGTTCTTTTTATTTTGCACACGCTAGGCCCTTGTTCTTGCAATTTTGCACACGCTAGGCCCTTGTTCTTTTTATTTTGCACACGCTATGCCCGTGTTATTTTTATTTTGCACACGCTATGCCCTTGTTCTTGCAATTTTGCACATGCTAGACCCTTGTTCTTTTTATTTTGCGCACGCTAGGCCCTTGTTCTTGCTATTTCGCGAACACAAGGCCCTTGTTCTTGATTTTTTGCATACGCTAGGCCCTTGGGCTTGCTATTTTGCACTCACTAGGCCCTTGTTCTTGCAATTTTGCACACGCTAGGCCCTTGTTCTTGCAATTTTGCACACGCTGGGCCCTTGTTCTTTTTATTTTGCACACGCTAGGCCCTTGTTCTTGTATTTTGCACATGCTAGGCCCTTGTTCTTGCTATTTTGCACACGCTATGCCCTTGTTCTTTTATTTTGCACACTCTAGGCCCTTGTTCTTGCAATTTTGCACATGCTAGACCCTTGTTCTTTTTATTTTGCACATGTTAGGCCCTTGTTCTTGCTATTTCGCGAACGCTAGGCACTTGTTATTGATTTTTTGCACACGTTAGGCCCTTGCTCTTGCTATTTTGCACTCGCTAGGCCCTTGTTCTTGCAATTTTGCACACGCTAGGCCCTTGTTCTTTTTATTTTGCACACGCTAGGCCCTTGTTCTTTTTATTTTGCACACGTGAGGCCCTTGTTCTTTTTATTTTGCACACGCTATGCCCTTGTTCTTTTTATTTTGCACACGCTACGCCCTTGATCTTTTTATTTTGCACATGCTAGGCCCTTGCTCTTGCAATTTTGCACATGCTAGACCCTTGTTCTTTTTATTTTGCACACGCTAGGCCCTTGTTCTTGCTATTTCGCGAACGCTAGGCCCTTGTTCTTGATTTTTTGCACACGTTAGGCCCTTGCTCTTGCTATTTTGCACTCGCTAGGCCCTTGTTCTTGCAATTTTGCACATGCTAGACCCTTGTTGTTTTTATTTTGCACACGCTAGGCCCTTGCTCTTGCTATTTCGCGAACGCTAGGCCCTTGTCCTTGATTTTTTGCACACGCTAGGCTCTTGCTCTTGCTATTTTGCACTCGCTAGGCCCTTGTTCTTGCAATTTTGCACACGCTAGGCCCTTGTTCTTGCAATTTAGCACACGCTATGCCCTTGTTCTTTTTATTTTGCACACGCTAGGCCCTTATTCTTGCAATTTCGCACATGCTAGACCCTTGTTCTTTTTATTTTGCACACGCTAGGACCTTGTTCTTGCTATTTTGCACACGCTATGCCCTTGTTCTTTTTATTTTGAACACGCTAGGCCCTTGTTCTTGCAATTTTGCACATGCTAGACCCTTGTTCTTTTTATTTTGCACACGCTAGGCCCTTGTTCTTGCTATTTCGCGAACGCTAGGCCCTTGTTCTTGATTTATTGCACACGCTAGGCCCTTGCTCTTGCTATTTTGCACTCGCTAGGCCCTTGTTCTTGCAATTTTGCACATGCTAGGCCCTTGTTCCTGCAATTTTGCACATGCTAGCCCTTTGTTCTTTTTATTTTGCACACGCTAGGCCTTTGTTCTTTTTATTTTGCACACGCTAGGCCCTTGTTCTTGCAACTTTGCACATGCTAGGCACTTGTTCTTTTTATTTTGCACATGCTAGTCCCTTGTTCTTTTTATTTTGCACACGCTAGGCCCCTGTTCTTGCTATTTTGCAAACGCTATGCCCTTGTTCTTTTTATTTTGCACACGCTAGGCCCTTGTTCTTGCAATTTTGCACATGCTAGACCCTTGTTCTTTTTATTTTGCACACGCTAGGCCCTTGTTTTTGCTATTTCGCGAACGCTAGGCCCTTGTTCTTGATTTTTTGCACACGCTAGGCCCTTGCTCTTGCTATTTTGCACTCGCTAAGCCCTTGTTCTTGCAATTTTGCACATGCTAGGCCCTTGTTCTTGCAATTTTGCAAACGCTAGGCCCTTGTTCTTTTTATTTTGCACACACTAGGCCCTTGTTCTTATTATTTTGCACACGCTAGGCCCTTGTTCTTGCTATTTTGCACACGCCATGCCCTTGTTCTTTTTATTTTGCACACGCTAGGCCCTTGTTCTTGCTATTTCGCGAACCCTATGCCCTTGTTCTTGATTTTTTGCACACGCTAGGCCCTTGCTCTAGCTTTTTTGCACTCGCTAGGCCCTTGTTCTTGCAATTTTGCACACGCTAGGCCCTTGTTCTTGCAATTTTGCACACGCTAGGCCCTTGTTCTTTTTATTTTGCACACGCTAGGCCCTTGTTCTTGTATTTTGCACATGCTAGGCCCTTGTTCTTGCTATTTTGCACACGCTATGCCCTTGTTCTTTTTATTTTGCACACGCTAGGCCCTTGTTCTTGCAATTTTGTACACGCTAGGCCCTTGTTCTTTTTATTTTGCACACGCTATGCCCGTGTTATTTTTATTTTGCACACGCTATGCCCTTGTTCTTTCAATTTTGCACATGCTAGACCCTTGATCTTTTTATTTTGCACACGCTAGGCCCTTGTTCTTGCTATTTCGCGAACACAAGGCCCTTGTTCTTGATTTTTTGCATACGCTAGGCACTTGGTCTTGCTATTTTGCACTCGCTAGGCCCTTGTTCTTGCAAATTTGCACACGCTAGGCCCTTGTTCTTTTTATTTTGCACACGCTAGGCCCTTTTTTTTTTGTATTTTGCACATGCTAGGCCCTTGTTCTTGCTATTTTGCACACGCTATGCCCTTGTTCTTTGTATTTTGCACACTCTAGGCCCTTGTTCTTGCAATTTTGCACATGCTAGACCCTTGTTCTTTTTATTTTGCACACGCTAGGCCCCTGTTCTTGCTATTTTGCAAACGCTATGCCCTTGTTCTTTTTATTTTGCACACGCTAGGCCCTTGTTCTTGCAATTTTGCACATGCTAGACCCTTGTTCTTTTTATTTTGCACACGCTAGGCCCTTGTTTTTGCTATTTCGCGAACGCTAGGCCCTTGTTCTTGATTTTTTGCACACGCTAGGCCCTTGCTCTTGCTATTTTGCACTCGCTAAGCCCTTGTTCTTGCAATTTTGCACATGCTAGGCCCTTGTTCTTGCAATTTTGCAAACGCTAGGCCCTTGTTCTTTTTATTTTGCACACACTAGGCCCTTGTTCTTATTATTTTGCACACGCTAGGCCCTTGTTCTTGCTATTTTGCACACGCCATGCCCTTGTTCTTTTTATTTTGCACACGCTAGGCCCTTGTTCTTGCTATTTCGCGAACCCTATGCCCTTGTTCTTGATTTTTTGCACACGCTAGGCCCTTGCTCTAGCTTTTTTGCACTCGCTAGGCCCTTGTTCTTGCAATTTTGCACACGCTAGGCCCTTGTTCTTGCAATTTTGCACACGCTAGGCCCTTGTTCTTTTTATTTTGCACACGCTAGGCCCTTGTTCTTGTATTTTGCACATGCTAGGCCCTTGTTCTTGCTATTTTGCACACGCTATGCCCTTGTTCTTTTTATTTTGCACACGCTAGGCCCTTGTTCTTGCAATTTTGTACACGCTAGGCCCTTGTTCTTTTTATTTTGCACACGCTATGCCCGTGTTATTTTTATTTTGCACACGCTATGCCCTTGTTCTTGCAATTTTGCACATGCTAGACCCTTGATCTTTTTCTTTTGCACACGCTAGGCCCTTGTTCTTGCTATTTCGCGAACACAAGGCCCTTGTTCTTGATTTTTTGCATACGCTAGGCACTTGGTCTTGCTATTTTGCACTCGCTAGGCCCTTGTTCTTGCAAATTTGCACACGCTAGGCCCTTGTTCTTTTTATTTTGCACACGCTAGGCCCTTTTTTTTTGTATTTTGCACATGCTAGGCCCTTGTTCTTGCTATTTTGCACACGCTATGCCCTTGTTCTTTTTATTTTGCACACTCTAGGCCCTTGTTCTTGCAATTTTGCACATGCTAGACCCTTGTTCTTTTTATTTTGCACATGTTAGGCCCTTGTTCTTGCTATTTCGCGAACGCTAGGCCCTTGTTCTTGATTGTTTGCACACGCTAGGCCCTTGCTCTTGCTATTTTGCACTCGCTAGGCCCTTCTTCTTAAATTTGGCACACGCTAGGCCCTTGTTCTTGCAATTTTGCACACGCTAGGCCCTTGTTCTTGCAATTTTGCACTCGCTAAGCCCTTGTTCTTGCAATTTTGCACATGCTAGGCCCTTGTTCTTGCAATTTTGCAAACGCTAGGCCCTTGTTCTTTT